ATTGTTTTGAGCGGGAATTTTTTTTTTTTTTACACTTGCATAATTCGTACTAGGGTCATTGAATTTAACTCCAGGAGACCATTGCAGCAATCATTTTGACTGAAATGTGTTTTCTAAATGGCGTCTGGTTTTTGAGCTTGTCTCGTGTAGCAGTGGGTTTAGCATGTGCATAAACCTAACTCTTGGCAGCGGAGGGTTTTGAGCAAGTGCAGGGAGATGTTTGCTTTGAGAGCCCCGTGATGCTGCTGCAGAGCACTAGGGTGTGTATAAATTTCAATAGGACTGTGAAAGAATATAGTGCCACTGTCTGATAGTACTGAACAACGGACGTTCTTAATTTCTGGATAGGTTTGAGTAAGCCAGACTGAAGAGTTACAATTAACATTGCATCTTGGGCAAGAGAATTGGAGGTTATAGACTGTGGAGATAAAGAAATACCTCACGGATCATCTAGTATGTCTCGGCCAGATTGAAATTGTTCCTGCTAGTGTCTTTCATTAATGTTTTTCTAGTCCAGTTTCAAGTGTACCACTTGGTGAGATTTCAGTCACATCTCTGAGGAAACAGCGTGGGGTTTTTTCCTTTTTTTTTTTTTTTACCCTCTTTTTTCCTAATAACATAATTTTCTCCATTCTCCAGTTTTATCCTATGGATTTTAGATGTGACACATATTTTATCCAGACTCTTTCCTGTGATAGTCAGTCGTTGTTTACCCAAACCACCCATGTGTTTCCGTGTGTCTTGGGTCCTAATTTTACTCATGTTTTGCACTTCTGTGAATGTGTTTTGGCTTTTTGTGGGGTCTTTGCGAAGAGCCTGGCCTTTCTCAGCGGACAGCCCTTGCTTCTGGAATCCTTCTCGATTCCACACAGGCATCTGCTGACAAAGCCAGTCTTTGTGCCTGCTTGGGGAATGATGCAAGGCCCATCTGCTAGTCCAGGCTGATAGGAAAAAAGCAGCCTTTAAGGATGGCTTGTGGGTTGCTTTTTTTTTTTTTCCCCAGAGGTTTCAATATCCATATTTGACCAGTGAATCTCCTCCAGAAGCAATCTGAGTGGTCATTTCTTACTGGCAGCAGCTCTCTGCCATGCTTTTATGGTTATTCTCACGTTATATCTAAGTGTTCAGCAGAAGGTTTGTCACACAGATACATTTCAAAGAAAGCTCAGTCCTGTCTTATTTTTAAATGTATCAGTGACACCTGTTCCTTCACACCTTTTGAATCAGTAACTTGTCTTCAGATTTTCTTGTTGTTCCTGTAGAAAATTAATTTGCTTTTTAGCTTTTGCTGGTATTTAATCGTTACCAGATCTAATTTTAATTTTATGAATAGCTTTAGAATATTTCTTCCGACTGTAATTTCTTTTGTTCAGAAGATTCTCAATAAATATTCTCTCTTATGTCACCCACACAGTTTTTCTGGCTTGTTTTTAGTCTGTTCTTGCCAGATGTTTTTTCCCAAGCTTTTGTGATAATGAAATGGAGCCACTGTACCCATGGTATTTAAAGAAAAAAAAAGAAGCTTTGGAAAGTTGTGAGGTTTTTTTTTTTTGTGGAGAAGTGCAATTAGTTTGACAATACATTCATGTTATTCCCAGCTGTGTTTCAAACTTCGAACGTATCTTTGTTTAAGAACAGATTGCTTCCAAAATTTTATGACACCTGAACTTTTGAAGCAGTAGTATTTTTTTCAGTGCTTAAGTTGTAGGTGGCGCTTGGATCTTAAAGAGTCTACAGAACAGGAAAATTGGTGATTTTAAAAATTTTGCTGCAAATACACAGTTCATTCCACTGTATCCTGCTTTACCTGGTGAATACCTTAAGTAGGCAGAGAAAGAGAGAGAGAGAGAGAGAGAGAGACTGTTTATAGGAATGCAATTTGATGCAAAATAGCCCAGCTCCAGAAGCAGTTAGAATGAAACTTCAATCTGGTAATGATTTCATACCGTACAAAGCTTTATCTTCCTTTCATACCATGCAAAGCTTTTTCTTCCTTCCTCCACTACCCCCACCCCAGTTAACTGCTAGATGTGCAGCGCAGAGACGCTCAAACCTCTCATGTCCAGAAGAAATTGAACCTTCTGTGTCCTGGAAGACTTCTTAAGCATTTGGTGAAGGCAACAGTCTTTATTTTTATTAATTGGGTACAGAGAGGTGTGTTCAGTGCAAAATATTTGAGGAAATTGATAATTCCACATCTATCGCATTCGAATCTCTTCTAACAAAGCATTTTATTGAGAAAAAAAATGTGTGTTGTCCAATTTTGTGGCTGACTCGTCAGCAGAAGAGCTCTGCTGTGTTGTTTTTAAGCAGAAAACAAATTTGAAGAAGTCATTAATTTGGTGGGACAGAACTATCTTGCTGGTTTTGATTCTAGCTGAGCCCATTGAGAAAGTTATGCAAGCAGAGCTGCCCCTCAGCGTGCAGGCTTTTGGATTTGTCCTTGGGAATTCTGTGCCCTTCTCCATGTCCAGGCTAGGCATCTGTAACTCGGTTTTGAATTCCCCTCTGAAGATTGACAAGTTAGATATTACAGCTTATAACATATGGCTGTCTGTAGGGGAGCTGGGCCTTATTTCCTCTCTTTGGATATATGTTCTTTGTCTCTGCTGAGCCCCTTTGAAGATAAAACTGTTTCTTACCTGCATAAGTTGAAAATGGCAGTTTTCTCTACTTCTGTCTTTTTAAGCAATCTCAGGATCAGGACTCACTGTTTCAGTACTTACTTCCCTGTGATGACATTTTTATTAAGCTACATAAATAGATTTGTGAAAGAAATGAGTTAACAGGTTGCAGTTAGTTAAGTAAGCTTGTGTTAGTCTGATGATCAATAGCTTCATTTGCCGTGTAATATTGTATATCAAGTCTTTGTAGTTAATGTCTGGAATCAAAAACATTAATGAAACTGTATGTAGTCTGATGCTATTTCAGTTTTACTGAGTCAGCATTTAGTAATGAATTGTATGTTGCTGACCTTAAGTTACACATTGTATTTGGTGTTAGTGGAAAAGAAAATGGTTACGATTTGTTGTTAAAGTATCGCTGGGGCGTTTGTAATGCAGCAACAAGGTCACTTATATATACATCCCACCTACAATGGAGATGGATCCAACTCCCAACTATCCAGGCTTTTGCTGTGCTTCTTGTGGGAGCTTTTAGGAGTCTCCTGCCATTCCTTTCTGTGGTCTCTGAAGGTGAGACCAGCTGCAGACGTGATTCGCCAGGAATGGTGCGGCAAGGTGTAAGGTAACAATTGTTACAGTGGGTTACTGCATGCTTCTTCACTGACTCAGTAAGGACTTTGTTGAAGGAGGAGTGTAGAAAAAAGTGCTCTCAAACTCATGAGTATTTTAAGAAAATACCTAACAAGTTGGAGGTTGATCCCAATCCAGCGATGTGTCCATGAAGTAGATTTTGAACCATTTGCCTTAACTTGAGTTCAGTTTCCTTAAAGGCTGTCAACGCTAACAATTTATAAGTCTTGGTACTCTTTAATGTAATTTATAGACCTGAATCAACTAAATGGAATTTGCCTTTGTGAATATGGATAGGCCAGTATTCCTTAACCAAGCTCTAAAGACTTTGCCGAATGATGGCATCCAAACTATTGTGGTCTAACGCCATATAAAAGAAAGCACAAGCTGTTACAAAAATTGCCTCATTCTTGGAGACCATAATTTTTTCTGTTCTTCACAGTTAGGTGTCATTTTTTTATATTATGTCCAGTTAAGGGAAAACTTCAATTATTTTTCCTACCTCCTGCAAGTACTGTTACAAGTTTGAAGACCAAGTTCACTTTCAGCAGAAGATTTGGCTTATTACTGGGTTAGGATTTTTTTTTTGATGGATTGATACTGGTAAGAACTTGCTGCTGCTTTTTATAGCAATGTACTTCCTTGAAGGTTTGAACTAACACTGTCTTTCCTGATACATTTATTCTTCAGAAAGTCCTTACTATGCTATTATCATTATACAGAGGTAGGTCATGGTTGGCTGCTTTTTTTTTTTTTGAAAAGTGGAGCTATAGTCACATACCAATTCTTCATAGAATGTAACCTTGTTGCCTTGAGTCATCAGTGGCATCTATAGCAAAGACTAGGGAAATTTTTTCTTGTTTTCTACTTTTACCTCTTTCTTTTCCCTGGGAGCTGAGCTGGGAGGAGGTGGGGAGACACTGGAATCACCACAATGTTTTTCCCTCACTGAGTCAGAACAGACTGGCTGCACTCAACAGTGACATCCCACGACTGCTTTAGCGATACTGCAGTCATGGTTTGGAGGAAAAAAGATAGTGAAAAATAGGCTGATACATTGTTATTTTTTTAAAATAATCAATGGCTCTGTCAAGACACTATATCTGTATTCGTAGGCAAATTTCTCTCCTTTCAGGCCCTGTTCTTTTTAAGCGCACAATCTTCCAGCTTTGCTTTTCCAACCTTCAAATTCTTTTTTATCTGGAGTAGAGCAATATATCCATCTGTTCAAAATGTGGCATGAGCTGGCACAGGAATATCCATCTTCGAGTGTGAAAGTTCAAGAGGAGCTCTTTGGGTATAAAGGAAAGAGAATCAAAGTCTCTTCTGGTTGTCAGGCAGAGATTTGGAAAATGTTCAGCTCATGCCTGTTATTCCTGCTCTCATCATTGTCTTTCTCTCTGATCAGAACTCCAGGATAACCCTTCATACACAGGATGAAGGGTTTAGCCTGTGTCTCTCACTGCCTGTATTGAAAATGTAATGGTGAAAATGTGTATCTGTTCCTGGGTTGGCTAACTGCAGAACTACATGAAAATCATTGAGAAGTAGGAGCAATTTTCCCCTGTTCCTGGGTTGGCTAACTGCAGAACTGCGTGAAAATCATTGAGAAGTAGGAGCAATTTTCCAGAGAAATATAAAAATTATGCCAAATGAAAAAAAATAAAATTAAAAAATTTGGCCACTGCTATTCATGTTAGGAAAAAAAAAAAAAGGCTAACATTTAGTAATGTCTTTCATTTGTAGATCACCTCTCTCGTGACTCTCCAGCTGTTATCCATGGTTGGCCATAATGACCAGCTTGATGGACCACGGTATAAATGTACTGTATCCCTGGACTTCATCAGAGCTATTGCCCGGTGAGCCTGTTAGAGATTATTTACTGTTCTGTGTTCTGACTCGACAGAGACTTCAGACTCAGTATTTGCTCAGTCTGTAGCTCTCTGAAGACCAGAATAGAAGTCTATGGATGTTTTCTAAGAATTAGTGAATGAGTCATCATCTTTATGAGAAGCGTTGAACTTCAGGTAAGTATAGTCCGATCCTGTTTTGAAGAAGAAATATGCTACAGTGGCAGTATGTGTTACAGTGACACACTGTCTTTGTTTTGAATAAAAGTCAGGGACTTCATGTGAAAATACTGCTCCAAAATGTCTGTCCATGTCACTACCAAACAGCATGTTATGGTATTTGAAGCATAAATGATACGTAGTTCTTAACAGTGTTTGTTGTACTTACGATATAAAAACTACGTAGATTATAAGAATTCTTCCACAGTCTATCCTGTGTGATCTGCAGTTGATACAAAACTAATTCAATAGGTGAATGTAAGTACCTCAACAACTCTGTTCATTCAGAGCATTTCGTTTTTGAGTCTTGACAACAGCTCCAGGTCCGTCAGGAGAGATGATAATAAATTGCAGACAGAAATGCGTGCAATACACAGGCAACAATCAAGCCTATGTCTCATTTTTATGAAACGTTGACGGCGTTACCTCATACCTTTTGCTGCAGCCAGCTTATTAGCAGGTCTTGGATAGAGTCTCTAGCCATTACAGAGCCCAGAAATGACACGTGGCAAAAAGGAGGAGAAACATTCTCGAGGGCAGCTCTCCTCTGTAAGGTGCGACTTCAGAGGAACCTGTGTCGTGAACTGTATCCCATAACCTCAGTGCACATGTTGCTCTCCTGAGCTATTAAGTGTCCAATACCCTCATCAGTAAACACCCCCAGACACACTAATTTCGATTTGCTTTTGGACCAGTCATAGCATGAAACTTCAGCTGCATCAGACCTGGCTGGATCATGCTACCAGGACCTCCCTGTGTCTGTTTGCTATTCCTAGCAATAAAGTCACTTGTTAAAGATGCCCTGAACATGCTCCCACTGTACAGCAGACCATCTGCTCAGCAACATGGATCATTGTGTGTACAAACGTCCCCAAGTTCTTGTCTCTGCTTTAACTTCTACAGTGAATAGTGACCAGTTCAGTAACTCAGTGCTGACTGAGGATCCTGAAATTAAGATACTTGAAATGACAGCCCTCTCCTTGCAACTTTAACATCCTTAGAAGTTTCATTGGCTCCGTTAAAGTTGCCCGAAGGTAGAGCTGGCCAGAAAATGGGACCAAAACTTGTGCTATGCAGAACATGCTTGCCAGAGAAAGCAGTTGGTGGAGACATATCACTTCAAACTTCAGTACTTGGTACAGTCTTTGCCTTGCTCCCCTTGCTTTAGGTCCGATGTGTGTGTGTATGTGTATCCTAACTGTTTTTTCCTGAATATTGTGAGGAAACAGTTTCCCAAACACACACCTCAAGTAGTTTGAAAGCGTTTTATATGCTGCCTAGATAAGGCCATTTAAATGACCTGACAGATATTTGAAGTTGACCTGTTCTACTATTCTCTTCTTCCACTTCTTTTTCTTGCTTTGTTCCTTTGTTATGCTTTTTTATTAAGTACTTTTTCCAGTCCACAGTTTTTGTTAAATCCATAAGGAAGATGGTCAAAATAGAAGGTTTCATGAATCTGTGATAAATGAGCTTCCCCCTTGTCTTGATGGGCCTAGGTATGGCGTGAAGGCATGATCTTCTGTGCTTTAAGAAGTTTAATTTTCTAGCTGTGCTGTAGTCTTGTAGCTGCCTGTAGTTTTTAACTGCTCATGGGAGAGGTTATATTTCTTGCAGAGAAGGAACTGCTTTGGCAACCAAAACAGGCATCAAGTAAGCAGCCCATCTCTTGATTCTTTTTTTCTCGGTTACTGTAATAGGCCCAAAATAAGCTTGTTAGTCACTAAAATCTTCAGATACTTCAACCTTGTTACCATCTCCACCTTGCTATTCTAACTTATTTCTGAATGGGAGGCTGAACAGTGCAGAGAGGGGGACAAAAATTATGCTTTCCTTACTCAAGCTGGTCAGATTATAATTTCATTTTGCTGCATTTTTTAAACCAAAGAATGGAGTTTGCATTTTAAAAAACAACAAAAGCCACCTAGTTCTGAAAAAGAGTAAAAAAACATGTGTCTCTTCCTGATGGTTTTTCATGTGATAACTGGTGGCCATGTACAGTCTCGTTCTTTTCTACCCTGGAATCTCATTTCTGGCTCTGTTCTGTTGCATATATTCAGTTTTTGCAGAGAGATTCCCATGCTTTTTACTGTGTAGTATTTACACGCCTAACTGAAGGTAAGGTTAGACATTTCTTTGTTAGAAATATTTAATTTCTCTTTTGAGAATTTCAGACCTAAGTTCATAACTTTTCTGTAGCTGAAGTAGGGATTTCTTAATGTTTGTTGAATGTAATAGATCTTTTGATGTAGTCTCTAATGAACTCAGTTGTTTTGACAGGACAATTGTGTTTCATTTAGTTGATAAGGTCAACATTTGTTAGAATGTGTGATTTTGTTTCTGTGGAAAGCCTTGGAACTAAAGCACTTTTCTTGAGTGGCATGGTGTCATGTGAGTCAAAGAGTGACAGTTAATTTCTTTAATTACTGGATTATTAAGTAGACACAAACACAGTATTTCTTATGTATCTTAGGGGTTCCTGAACTTTTTCTCTGCCCAATATGGTTTTTACAGAAACTTTTTGAGAAGTGGGTTAGAGTATGATGTTTGAACAGAGAATGTTAAATGATTGTCGAACAAAAAAGACATTCAGCCAGTGAATCTCACTTAGCATTGTGAGTGGTTATTTTTGCATCATTGAGTACTTTTTTAAAAAAACTTTCAATTTCATACTTGTCATTATACAGAGTAATTTGCATTATTTATTCTAAAAGTAAATCGCAAAGTCTGTGTTGGATTGTATAGCAGAATGAGTTGAGACAAAAAAATAATTATATGTTTTATTCTACTTCTGTTTCATTCTGCCTGCCACTGAAGTACAAAAGTATACATTAAAATCTTATATCCCATTGAGTGGCATTCTTGGGTTTTTCAAATTTAGCTGTGAACATGGGTCAGCTAGTGTCAAGACAGAGAGAACACAGACTGCAAATGAGTACAGATGAAGGAGTTACATAGGATGTGCTAAAACAGGTGGTTTGGAAGATGAACAAAACATACGATAGAATAGAAGATTGCTGCTTTGCATCACCAACTAGAGTATCATGTTTACCATATGAAAATATAATCTTATTAACTTTGATATGCTTTTACTGCTTAATGATCAAAATAAGAATCTTCCAGTTTTTACTAGAAAGCTGCTTTATTTCTTTTTTAGACTCTTACAAAGTTTAAATAAGCACAAGATAGGTACTGTAAATAACAGCAGAAGTTAAAAATTCATTCCTCCTTGAGTGCATTTCTTTTGGGGATATTGCCTGATTTTTGTTGTGCAGAATGTCCCGCGTGTGCTGTCTCCAAACAGGTTAAAGTCTTAACACTGTTAAGATGATTGCTCTAATAAACTGTGGTTTTTTTTATAGGACTGTGAACTTCGACATAATAAAGTACTTGTACGATTTCTTGTGAAAACAAGCTTCGCAGCCATATGGACACTGTGACAATGACTAAGGCAAGCTGTGTTCATCTCTCTACTTAGCTGGCCAGAATGAAGAGTATTTTGGCTCTTTTGGATTTGTCCAAACAGGTGCTGGCCCAGCATGGAACCTGATGAAAACACTCTGATTGGTCTGGGTGGATCTGAGCAGAGGACTATTTACCAGGGACCCTGGAGTATTTGGAAGCAATGTGTTAATTATAAACAGCAGGGTTTGAGCACAATCTGTTCTACTCTTAATGATGTTATCTTAACACTGAAATTGCCTGAAACCCATTTACTTAGGACTGCATTTTGCTCTATGAACTCTCCCCAGTGCTTTGAACGTGGCAGCAGCCCTTGTTTGTATGCCCAGTCTTTTCACTTCCTCTCCGCAGGAATCTTTGCAATTGCCTGCCAAAACAGCTTTTCCTGAGGCCACCATTTTAGGAGAAGTGGAGTAGCAAAATGTAATAAACATAAGAACATATTTAAAATCAAGCTGGTGTAAATCCTTCTTTCTTTTCAGTCATATGTAGGCAGACTGTTACACTGTTACATGGAGATCACGATGATAGGGAACTCCCAATTAATCACCATGCTGTCTTTTTGCAGACCATTCATAAATGTTGTCTATGATATGGTTTTACACAGCTTTGTTTTAAGAAGTTTAAAGCTCTAGCCCAGTGTCAAACTTGAAAGGTTTTAATTTTTTTTAAAACATTTTGCTGTTCTTTTTACGCTTGTCCAGTGCTGATAGTTAATGCTCTTTGGTAGGACTATACTTTAAGATATACACTGTGTAATGACTTTTGTAACAGTTATCTGTCCTGTAAAGGGGGGCAGCACAGCTGCCTTTCTTCCAGAAAGGGAGAAATTCAACAGGTGACAGAGTATTCAGGCACCACCTCCCTAAAAGAGGCAGAATAGTGAATAGTCAATGTGGTGTTATAACATAAAGCTTTAGCTCTGGAAATACACGATGGAATACACTGCAATTGCATTTGTCTCCAGTTTACAAGGAGAGGGTTCCTAACTGCCAGTACCTTTACAGGGGATTTCCAGTTCAGGATTACTGTCTTTGTGAATTGGAAGATTTCTGTAACCCTCTTGAAAACTCCAGGTCCCACAGCCTGTTACTTGAGTGTTTTACTCCTGAATGCCGGCCTTTGACTGTTTGGCTGTACAAGACACTGACATGTGCTATGTTGACCATTATGTTTTCTTCTAAGGAAAAATCATCATTTTTTCCCCACCTTGTTCCAATATTGGATATAATCAAATACCCTGAACATGTGTAGCTTTTTCTATTTTTTTTTATTTTTCTCTCTTTATTTTTTTTTCCTCTCAGTTGTGGGTGTATAGCCAGGCTTCTGCATTCTGACTCAAATGAAGGAGTTGCAGGTGAACCTAAGTGACAGAAGAGTCTTTCTGGCCAAGCTGTCGCTTCCCCCCCTCAGGAGAGTGCGAAGGGGCAGCAATGAGTCATATCCGTGATCCCTTTTCCTTCCTACTGCTGAGCTGAATCAAACCCTGCACCTGTCCATGAGGTGGCAACATTTGTCACGCTTACTTGCTTGGATGCAAATGCATAACCTGTCTCAAAATGTTTACTACCTGCTTTTGTTGTTACTAATAAAAAGGTACATAAGGTGAACTCTGGGCTAAACTTTACAGCGTCTTACCCTTCTGGAGCTAATGCTCAGCGCTTGTGAATCTTCTGTGTGACTACGCAGGGCTGAAGGTTGGAGAAGAAAGTGTCGAGGTCTTCATACATAAACTAATCCATATAAAGCCACAGTGACACATCATAGGGGTTTGTGACATCTGATCTGGATTAGAATTTGTTACATGGAACATGGCACTGATACTGATATAAGTGCTAAAACTCTTGAGTCACAAAATTCCGAAATCTGTAGCTAGCCTTGTTTACAGCTTTGAGCAAAGTGGGGCAGGGCGGTACTGCTGGGGAGGGACAGTGCCAGCTTGTGCTTAGTGGTAGTCAGCATGGCTGAAAATCTTAGCACCTACCAGGCAGAAGAAAGAAGCTCTTCTTGGGGCAGTTTTGCTACCAATAGCATGTTTTATTACCACACTTCCACTAAACCTGCATGAAAATATCACAAACACTCAAAAATAATTCAAGCTAATACACATTAAGAAAATACAAGGAGAGCATGGAAGATGGCTTTACAGGTAGCCCTACATGAGTCCATGGATGCACAATAAATGCGGTCATATTAGAGGCATTTTCAGGCAACGTTTATATCTTCATTCTGATGGCAAAGAAATTAATAGGATTTTTACCAGTTGGCTTAGTAGAGAGCCATTTCAGGAATATTTCTAATGCTGCTTTTGATGCAGGTTGACGAGATGAGATGCAAATTCAGAGGTTTCAAACAGTAAAAGACGAACCAAGCATAATGGTATTTTGCTCTAGTATAATAGACCTTTTGCTCAGTATTGTGTGGTTAAATTCATTCAAGAGTCTTAGTTTTCCAACAGTATGTATCAGTCCATAAACACATGTAGGTACTTGTGACACTACTTCATAAAATACACTGTACTGCTTGTTTTAATGTGAAAATTTGGTTCGTTATTAGAGCTCATAAATATGGATAAATGATTTTTCTTTTCACTGTTGCCATAGCTTTTCTAGAAAGAGATCAGGATCAGAGCCGTTTCAAGACTTAATTGCCTATAGCTACTAAACAGGGACTATAGATAGAAAGAAGGACACCACATTTCAGAAGAGGTGATTACTGTATCTTTCGATAATGTTTGAATGAGGAACAAAGTCAGTCATGTAACTTCTGGTTTTGGTTGCAACTGGAAAAACATCCCTTTTGCATTGTGTCGAATGTGCACCAGTTGTCCTGCCTTTTCAGTAACCCCATCACTCCCAAATAATAAACCCTTAGAACTACCCAGCCCCAAATTTGGAGTACAAAATATAGAAGATATAGGCTAAGAGTCTTAGAAAATAAACACTGAGAAGACTTGGTGCTGCTGCTATTTTTTTCAATGTAATTTCTTCCATACTAGCCCAATGATCATTTCCAGAGGATGAGGATGCACATTTTTGTGGAATTTAGTTAATTTGGCTGAAATGAGGTTAACTGGAGAAGGAGTGGTAAGTGAGGACCCATTAGGCAGAACCACTGTCCTTACTGTGAATGCACTTTTGTGACCTTTTTGAAAGACTCCTATCAGTGATGTAAAATTTAAAGCTGAATCAGCAGAGTGTGAGAATGAACAAGGTGACTGAAGTGCAGAAGATTGATGTAGGCTATAGCTATGCCGATGATGAATAGTAGGATTTATTCTGACAAACCAGAAATATTTCTATATATCTGTGTCAATGAGTTTATAAATTACTGCCGAGTTTTTACTGGCTACCCTAGCAGTCCTGTGTTCTAAGTCTCTGTTTTCATGGATGAGGTGTGATGTCCTTTAGGCTCCCTCGGGGTCAGGATGGTTTTAAGACAGGTGGTTTTAAGAGCTGTGAGGCAGAATGAGGCAGTTGTTTGACTAATCAGAAGTCCCTCAATGCTCAAGTGTAGCAGTATAAATTTAAAAAAATAACAGAGAACATTTTCATAGTTTCTGAGTCACAAAGCATTGTGATACTGTAAAAATTACAAACTTACAGTGGCTTGAATGGCTGATGCAAACATCAACGGGAGCTGGGGCTTTTTCTTACGCAAAGAAAGTAATGAAAAGAGAAATGCAGCTATCATGAGTTGCAAATAAATTAGTACCCTTGACTAGCTCTGACTTCAACAGCTGTTTTTCCATACACACAATATGGAGTTTTTGTTTTTTGAAAAGGTTTGCAAGGGTGCATCCACATGTAATACAGGAGAAGATTTATTCTTTTTCTGATAGTGATTTATCTTACTCTTGTTCTCCCAGAACCTGCTGCTTCTACCATAACAATCCCCCTAGCTATTGTATCTGGTTATTTGAGCACTTTATGAGTTCTAGTGCCTCTATACACCGTGATTTACACATGTAAGAATACATCTGGTTTTACCATTGGTTAAATTTTTCCAGTATCCACCAAGTAGTTTTGCCAAGACCATTCAGGCACTATCTCCTCCCCTGGTAACTGGAACAGCCAGCCATGCCAGGAGAATTGTGTGAAGAACAGGATTCCCAGCAGGAGTGAAGGAGATACTGCACGTCTGTGACCTGTGAGCAACATGTACGCAGCTGAGTATCCTAGGATTAGATATTCCCTCTGTACTTGTGTTGGCAGAGATGGCAGGGAAGAGTGAGAAACAGCAGCTTCTTCAGAGTTGCCTGGAGGTGAGCACGCTCTGTGTTTTAGCTCAGATAATTCTGAAACAGAAGATTTACTCCATCCAGGAGTAAATGCTACCAGAGGTGACAGCAGCTTCTCTGGTTTTCCTGACAGAACCGCATAATTTACAGAAGAGCCTTATCATTGCTAGTAAATATGCATTGGGATACAGATACAACTTGATTAGCAAGTCTAATCCTACACAATACCAAATTTTTATGTGTTCTTAGATACTGGAATGGTTCCACTAGAATATTGAATGGGAGATTAGTAGCAAAAACTGTTTTTTATCACAGCTTCCGTGTGATGTCTTTTACTCTGAACAGGCAGAATTGTATAAGCTGTATAATACTCAGATAAGGGTAAACATGGAGTAAGCTGAGGTTTACTTTTTGATTCTTTATTTTTGTGTGTGTATATTAAGACATCAGACTGCTTGTTACTGGACTTCAGCAATGTACCAGCTCTAAGTTTGAATGACTAAGTAGTACTTGTTTGGGTAAGTGAGGGGGGGAGTGTTCAGCTTCAAAATTTTTCAAATCATGGTTAAGTATGTTGGGACAATGAATGCTGTACAGCCAGTCGTCTTGTTCTTGGTGTTTGTTATTCGTTTGTTTTGTTTTAATGAAGTGCTGATGAAAAGTCTGTGGCAGACCTGGTGTGGGAGATGTGATTGTTCATAAGGAA